TACATTCGGCGTTTAAAGAAATAGAGGGGAGGGAATATTATAGAAATATAGTGGCTAATTAATTTAGACTTATATTATGGAAATTTGAATTCGTTTTTATGTCGATAATTTAAGTGCTCAGTATATTTATTATTCCAGAGCAAATAATTAATAAACAATAAAATCCCAAATCACCTCATATGGGGAATAGCCTATTTCGGCTAAGATATCGGTCGTCTGTCTTATCAACCCCGGAGTGGACTGATTTCCTGTTAGAAATAGAAATTTAATCGTGAAAGCTATAAAAAAAAAAAAAAAAAACAATTCAATCGGTCGAAAAACTAATACAGAATTTATCCATTTCAATGTTTCAGTCAGACGAAAGGCACGAGACAGGGGTCTGGGAAGGTTGGAAGGTATTAGTTTTAAAGGGAAAGGGGTTTTATAAAATTAAAAGAATGAAATATTAATTTAAAATTAAAAGAGGAATAAAAAGGGGTTTAAAAATAACTTTAAAATCTATAGATAAAAGGATGTATGGGATTAAGGGAAAGAGAGTTGGGAAGATCTTAGGGTAGGAAAAAGTTTATAAATTATAATTAATATAGCGTAAAGAGGTTATAGTGGGGGTGGATAAAGAAATTAGAATCACATACATTCGACATTTGAAGAGTTAGAGGGGAAGGAATATTATGGAAGTATAGTGGCTAATTAAGTTAAACCTATATTATGGAAATTTGAACTTGTAATTTGAATATATATATATATATATATATATATATATATATATATATATATATATAACATACAGTACATATGTGATTACACATGTACATACACACAAAAATTTTTATCTTACTGTATAAGTGCCACGCACATACTTTCATACACACACACACAGACTCATTAGAAAATAATCCCTGTTAATAACTTATTTTCGAATCACCCTCTTAAAAAACAAATTGACCCCACCCGTGGGGGGGGGGGGCACTCCACTTTGTGAGCCACGGATATAGGTTGAGTAAATCACTTGAGAAAAGCGTCTTTGTTTTAAGCCATTATTTGTGTATTCGCTGAATTATCCATATACAGGCTCTTTGTTCCCAGTAAATTATACGAATTATTCAGATGTCTTTCCCATGTAAATCTTGCTTATCCTTGTGAATTCGACAGTACATGATCTTGAACCAGACTTGAACGAATCTAGGAGTGCCGCGCCGTGGAGCAATTGCTTGCAAAATTGTGGCCTTGAATCAGATTATAGGGCATCTATTGTAGTATGATGGTTAGCAAATTCATCTCGCAGACCGTTATTACCATAAGTTGGTTCCTCACTAGGTGCCATATATTTATACACTTTCACCAAACTATTTTTATCTTTCTTTATACCGCTTTTCTTCTTCCTTTTTTCCCATTCACTTATTTTTCATTCATTCTCTTTTTTTCTTCCCATTACAATAGTTTTCATTCTTTCGATCCTTCTTTTGTCTTTTTCATCCAGATTTTCATTCATTCACACTTTCATTCCCCTTTCATTCAAACTTCCATTCACATTTTCATTCATTCACATTTTCATTCCTACCTTCATTCACATTTTCATTCATTCACATTTTTATTCCCACTTTCATTCTCATTTTCATTCACATTTTCATTCATTCATGTTGTCATTCATTCACATTTTCATTCATTCACATTTTCATTCCCACCTTCATTCACATTTTCATTCATTCACGTTTTCATTCATTCATATTTTCATTCCCACCTTCATTCACATTTTCATTCATTCACGTTTTCATTCATTCACATTTTCATTCCCACATTTTCATTCATTCATTTTTTATTCACATTTTCATTCATTCACATTTTTATTCACATTTTCATTCATTCACGTTTTCATTCATTCACATTTTCATTCCCACCTTCATTCACATTTTCATTCATTCACGTTTTCATTCATTCACATTTTCATTCACACTTTCATTCACACTTCCGTTCACATTTTTATTCATTCACATTTTTATTCATTCACATTTTCTCATATTTTCTTCCGCCATTCTTCATTCATTCTTTTCCCCTCTTTTTATTGCATTGATGGGAAATGAAATCACTTCCTGCCTTACGCCCAAATCGATTATCCGATTCGTCGACACAAATTGTTAGAAACCGTAGATGTCCTATTATTTGATCAATCTATCACAAAATGATTGGTCTAAAAAATCGGCCCTTAAAAAACATATTAGCAGGAAATGAAGTTGATAGGGTCGCCTATCGCCCGGTTCAAACACCTTCCGAGCCTTTTGAACAGAAGTAGAGGCTTACCCCTTTTTTCCTGTTTAGGATTCGTTTCCCGGTTCCTTGTTCTAAAATCTTCTCATTCTCTTTCATTCCTAGTGGTATTATCACTTTGCTTGTGGTGATTTTCTAAGCATAGCTCTGATGTAGTACAGGGCTGAAAGTATGCGTTACCCAATGAGAATGGAACTTACTATTCACTCGTAACCGATCTAACGAGACAAGCTTGTTAACCATTACAAACATTGTCGATGTGCCCAGAGGTTTTATAAGCGTAGCTTAGATGCGGCACAAGGCCGAATGTATGGATATGACGATCGAACACACTATTCAGTCGTAATTGATCTAGTGAGAAAAGCGTGCTAACTGTTACACCACATCGAAGTGCTCAATTATTTTCTAAGCGTAGGTGTGGCACAAGGCAGAAAGTATGGGGCACCCAGTGAGGATTAAACTCGCTATTCAGTCGTTATGAATCTAGCGAAACACGTTTAATAACCATTACAGCACATCGAAATGCCCTGCATGTGGTAAACGAATAAAAAAAATATCGTGAAAAGCTATTTATAGTTAGCATACTAAACTTGGAAGCGAGGTGTACTTCTCACTGGGGTAAGGGCACAGGGGTCGTCATAGTCCTTCAGATGCGTGTAAGCATTCTTGTAAGGACAGTGGCGGACACTATGCAGCCGACCAAACACAAGTGACAGTCTTTGTTGGGACGTAGCTGTACTACACGCCAATAAGCAGTTACAATTAGTTTTTCACGGTTTCCCGCCAATAAGCAGTTACAATTAGTTTTTCACGGTTTCCCGCTAATAAGCAGTTACAATTAGTTTTTCACGGTTTCCCGCCAATAAGCATTTACAATTAGTTTTTCACGGTTTCCCGCCAATAAGCATTTATAATTAGTTTATCACGGTTTCCCGCCAATAAGCAGTTACAATTAGTTTTTCACGGTTTCCCGCCAATAAGCATTTACAATTAGTTTTTCACGGTTTCCCGCCAATAAGCAGTTACAATTAGTTTTTCACGGTTTCCCGCCAATACGTTTTTTTTTAATTCAGTTGTTTTGTAATAAATTGATCAATGATCGAACATCTTCAATTTGAGTAGATTAATCTGAGAATAGATTTGGATTTGGCACTAAGTGATTCTATTTTGTTTTCAATGAAAGAAATAAAAAGAGAAAAAAAAAGGAATGAAAACGGATGAAAGAAAGTACGAGAGTCTGCAAAAGAAAAGGACAGAAAAGAAGGTTCAAAAGAAAAAAAAACTTCAAATGATAAAAAAGAAAGAGTATGAATGAAAAATAAGAAATGAATGGTAAGAAAAAGAAAAGAAACAGGAAGAAAGACAGTAAAGGAGCATAAAAACGAAAAAAAGGAAACGCGAAAGAAGAAACCAAAAAAAAAGAAAAAGAAGAGGAAATATAAGAAGAAAAAAAGAAACGAAAAAGCAAAAGAAAAGAGTCAGAAAGAAAAAAATATAAGAAGGAAGAAGAGAATGAAGAAAGAAAAAGTAGAGATAAGAAGAAAAGAAAAGAAGAAATTAAAAAGGAGAAAAAAGTAAAAAGGAAAGGGAGAGATGAGAAGAAAAAGAAAAGAAAAAGAAAAGTAAAAACAAAAGAGAAAGAAAACGAGAAAAAAGAATCAGAAAAGAGGAAATGGGGGTTAAAACAAAAGAGAGAAGGATTAGGAGATAAAAGAAAAAAAAGAGATAGTAAAGGGGAAAGGAAAATGTAAGGAAAAGCAGAAGGAAGAAAAAAGCGATGAAATGTAAAAACAAAGAAAACGAGATGGGAAAAAGAAACGAAATATGAGATTAGAAAAAAAAACAGAAAAAGAGAACAAAGGAAATAAAGAGAGAAAAAAAGAAGAGACGAGGAGAGGGAAACAGAAATGAAGGTAAATAAAAACATCCGAAAGAAAAGAACGAGTAAAATTCAATTTAAAGTAAATAATGAAAAGAAAGAAAGAAAGAAAGAAAGAAAGAAAAGAGAAAGAAAACAGCTAGAGTTACGTAGGAAATGAAAGAAAGAAAGAAAGAAAGAAAGAAAGAAAGAAAGAAAGAAAGAAAGAAACAGAGACACGAGAGGAAAAAAGAGACGATTGAAAGAACAAGGAGACAGAATACAACGAATGTTAGGTAGGAAAAGAAAGAAAGAAAGAAAGAAAGAAAGAAAGAAAGAAAGAAAGAAAGAAAGAGAGGGAGACAGCGAGAGTTATGTAGGAAAAGAAAGAAACAAACAAGCAAACACAGACACGAGAGGAAAAAAGAGATGATTGAAAGGACAGGGAGACAGAATACACAACGAATGTTAGGTAGAAAAGAAAAGAAAGAAAGAAAGAAAGAAAGAAAAGAAAGAAAAAGAAAGAAAGAAAGAAAGATAGAAAAGGGACAAAAAGACAAAAAAAAAAAAAATGAAAGCAAAAAAAAAGAAAAGAAAGAAACAAAAACAAACAAAAAGGAACACGAGAGAAAAAAAAAACGATTGAAAGAAAAGGAGACAAAATACAACGGATGTTAGGAAGGAAAGAAAAGTGGAAAAGGAAAAAAAGCAATTAAAAAAGAATAAAAAAAATTATATCGGGGAGACAACGACGTTATGTAAGGAAAAGAAAAGTTTTAAACAAGCAAACACAGATACGAGAGTAAAAAAAAAAAAGAGATGTGTCAAAGGACAGTGCTTTTTTCAAAGATCTAAGTTGATAAAATAATATCGAAGGTTATGAAGAAGAAAAGAAGAAAGAATTAAAGAAGAGAAGATAGAAAGGAGACAAAATAATAAAAAGGAAAAAAAAAGAAAAGGCAAAAAAAATAGAAAGACAAAATGGCTGAAAAGGAATAAGAAATGGAGAAAAATGTCAAAATAAATTTTTCAAAAAACAATGAAGAAAGAAGAACGAAGAAAAGACAGAAAAGGACAAAAAAAACAAAAAAAGCAAGTATAAAAGCAATTATATCGGCTTCTATAACGACGGCACGTAATGCAAACAAGTTTAAAAAACAACGCAACAAAGAAAAAGGAAAGAAAAACAAGAGTGAAAGATTTTCTCAAATAACAAAGGCTTTTGAAAAAAGAAATCTAAGTTCAAAGAAAAAATAACAAAGAAAGGTTAGAAACAAACCAAACAAAAACCCCATGTACAAATCAAACAAGGCTTTAAAGGTCTTATTCTTTGCTCTGGGGGGATCATGAGGTCGAGATACGAGGATAGAACAAAAAATGAAGGCAAGAAAGAAAGAAACAAACAAGCAAGAAAGAAAGAAGCCACTAAACAATGAAGAAAGAAAGAACGAGAGAAAGACAGAAACGAACAATAACAAAAAAACAAACAAAGCAAGTAATCAGAATGAAGTAGGAACTAACAAGGAAGAAAGAAACAAAGAAAGCAAACAATGATAAACAAACAACGCAACAAAGAAAAAAGAAAGAAAAACAAAGAGAGAAAGATTTTCAAAAAGCAAGCAATGAAAAAAGAAACAGACAACACAACAAAGAAACAGGCAAGAAACAAACAAACAAAACAAACAACACAATAAAGAAAGAAGCAAACAAAGCAAGCATGAAGAAAGAAAGAAACAACGTAAGAAACAAAGAAACAACGTAAGAAAGAAACAAACAAACAAACAATGTAAGAAAGAAAGAAAGAAAGAAGCAAATAAAGCAAGCATGAAGAAAGAAAGAGACAACGTAAGAAAGAAAGAAAGAAAGAAAGTAGCAAATAAAGAAGGCATGAAGAAAGAAACAACGTAAGAAAGAAAGAAACAACGTAAGAAAGAAAGAAACAAACAAACAACGTAAGAAAGAAACAAACAAACAATGTAAGAAAACAAAAAGCATGAAGAAAAGAAAGAAACAATAAAGAAAGAATGAAGAAAAGAAAGAACGAAAGAAAGAAACAAAAAACAAACAAACAAAGAAACAAAGAAAAACAAACAACGTAAGAAAGAAAGAAACAAAAGAAAGAAAGAAACAATGCAAGAAAGAAAGAAAAAAACAAACAAACAAACAGCGTAAGAAACAAACAAAAAACAAAAGAAAGAAACAAATAAAGCAAGCATGAAGAAAGAAAGAACGAAAGAAAGAAAGAAAGAAAGAAAGAAACAACGTAAGAAAGAAAGAAAGAAGCAAATAAAGCATGCATGAAGAAAGAAACAAACAAACAAACAAACAGCGTAAGAAAGAAAGAAAGAAAGAAAGAAAGAAAGAAAGAAAGAAAGAAAGAAAGTAGCAAATAAAGCAAGCATGAAGAAAGAAGGAAATAACGTAAGAAAGTAAGAAAGAAACAAAGGAAGCATGAAGAAACAAACAACGCAAGAAAGAAAGGAATAAAAAGAAAGAAGCAAACGAAACAAGCATAAAGAAAGAATAAAACAAACAACGTAAGAAAGAGAGAAAGAAACAAAGCAAGCAAGCAATGAAAAAACAAACAAATAACGGAAGAAAGAAAGAAATAAAAAGATATAAAGTAGCAAATAAAGAAAAGAGAGAGAGAGAGAATAAAGCAAAGAAAGCAAGCAAAGAAGAAACAAACAAACAACGCAAGAAAAGAAATAAAAAGGAAGACAATAGCAAATAAAGCAAGCACAAAGAAAGAAACAAACAACGCAGGAATGAAAGAAAAAAGAAAGAAGCAAATAAAACTAGCCATGAAGAAACAAAGAAAGCAAACAAACAATGAAGAAAAAACAAGGATCAATGCTTTGTTAAGAATCAAGAAAGAAACAAAGAAGCAAAGCAACTAAGGAACAAGAAACAAAACAAGCAAATAAAAAGAAACAACAGAAAACAGTCAAAAAGGAAAATGTCTACAAATAGCTGAAAATTAAATCTGCTCTTATCTATTAATTCCCGTAATATTTTCATAGGTACCGCCATAATTTAAGCTAAAAAAAAAACTTTTAACTTATTTGATAAAACATAGCACACCATAATGAAATTATGTCCCAAACTTAATAAATCTTTATGTTATTATTAAAAGCAAAAACCAAAGGATTTTTTATTATTATTAAATTATATTTTGTTAAATGTTCGAAATTTTGGTTGAAAATCTTTGGGTTTTTTTTTTCGTCTGCGAGTAGAGGTGTAAAGATTAGTATAGGAAATTTTAGCATCTTTTTTTGCGATAAAAACACATTGATTTTGGAAATCCTTGCAAAAATCAAATAAATGACGGATTTTAATGGAACTTTCAGGACTTATTCATAAATGAATTAAATAATTTTTTTTTAGAAAATCTAGGTAATAATATTTTTTTTAAATCTGTTACCCTTACCCACCCCACTTATTTAATTTTATGACATTTTCGAGGAATTAATTTTTTTATTGCTTAATGTTTATATTACAATTTTTAATCATCAATTTCTTTTTGTAAAACATATTTTCTATAAATTTAAGACATTATTTAATTGAAAAATATTTTATGAACAAGATATATTATAGACACTATTGTCTTAAGAAAACCGATATGAATTTTTACAAGAATTGTTTTCATTTTCTTTAATTTTAATTATAATAATTTAAAAAGTTTTAAATCTTTAAAAATTCTATCATTATTTGTAACGGTCAGACGCTATTGTTATTAAATAAAACTATAATTACTAATAATAAATGGCAAAGCTTATTACAATTTACTAATATTTTAAAATGAATTTTGAATATTTTATACGTATGTAAACGTGCCGATATTTGTGAATACGGATGTTCATACACGATATAATCAGAAAATAAGAGCGATAACTATAGTAAATTTTAAAGCCAAAATTCATAAATTCAATAAAATGTTAGATTACGAAGAATATTTTCCTAAATTTTTAAGATTACTGGATGGTTAAAAATTGTATAAAAATGCGTTTTTTTAGGAAAAAAAAGTGGGCCTGCGTTTTTGCTTTCACTTTCGCATACATTTTGGAAGTACCTTCTTTTTATTACAGTAAGGATCACGCTTTACAAAGCCCGAGAGCCACTCGAGGCAGATGGTTATGTTAGGAGGCAATTTGAGCGAATAGAAGTGGAAGTTAACGGTTAACCCTAGACTTGAACAGGTTAAGATTGTAGTGATCGGGGAGTCAGTTCTGCAGAGGGAATGTGGGTGGCTTGCTACTATGTAAGTGGCATAGCGCGTCCTTGCCGTGAAGGTCTGAATTGGCGGGACCAGGCAATGCAGTTCGTCCAAGCTCTTTCTTGCACACAACGATAAAGCAGAGAGAGGTCTGTCACATCCCGTCTGTGGAAGAGAGGTTGGAGGGTGGAAAATAATTCGCCACCCATAAGGGCTCGGAGACGCTTTTGGTCTCTATCAAGGCTAAAGAGTGAAGTCTGACAGCTCCCACCCAAATATAACAACAGTACTTAATATCTGGCCTCATCAGGCTCTTGTAAAGGTAGAGGATAGCATGAGGAGGTCAGATGCAGGGAGCCGGCCATTTTATCTGCATCCTTAACAATGGATCGTATCTACGAGTTCCACTTGAGATCACGTGTGAGTTTGAGGCCCAATAGTCTTTCAAACCTATTAATGATTAAAGATTTGAAACTAGGTACCATCTAAATGGCTGTGAATAACCCCCAGCCACCCGCGAAAAAAAGAAAAAAACACCCTTATCCATGTTTTTAAAAACATTATCAAAAATTGTATAATTATCATATTTAATCGAAATCTTCAGTAATTATCAATTAATAAATGAATTGTATACTAAACAGATTATTTTATTAGAAAACTTTTTGGAAACTTTTTGAATGGTTAGTTAAGCAACTGGAATGAAGAGAAACGCTATTTTCATATTTTTAACTGAAAAATAATGTCAGTATTTGTCACGTGTGGAGAATATTGTCATTATATATTATGATTATATTATTACTGCTCTTACAAACAAATATACACAACAGATTCATAAAATCAAAAGAAAATGGTTGAATACATCAACACAGATATAATGACAATATTATCCACACGTGACAAATACTGACGTTATTTTTCAGTTAAAAATATGAAAATAGCGTTTCTCTTCATTCCAGTTGCTAGGTACATTCTGTTTTTGTTTTTATTAGTTACTTTGTTCGTTTAATTTCATTTTCGTATTTTGCTTTGATAAAGTCCACATTGGACGAAACGCGCCAGCAATTACCAGTTTTCCTATTGTCATTTTTATTCATAAAATATATATATATATATATATATATATATATATATATAGAGAGAGAGAGAGAGAGAGGGGAGAGATAGATAGATATTTTATCAATATATGTCTTCTTTATACACACACATATATATATATATATATATATATATATATATATATATATATATATATATATATATATATATATATATATATATGAAAATTTCTCTGATTTAACCAGTAGCAAAATACGTGACAATTACTGACGTTATTTTTCAGTTAAAAATATGAAAATAGCGTTTTCTACATTCAGTTGCTAGGTACATTCTGTTTTGTTTTTATTAGTTACTTTGTTCATTTAATTTCATTTTCGTATTTTGCTTTGATAAAAGTCCACATTGGACGAAACGCGTCAGCAATTACCAGTTTTCCTATTGTCATTTTTATTCATAAATATTGTCTTCTCTACTGGTTAAATCGGACAATTTTTTATATATATATATATATATATATATATATATATATATATGTATGTATATATAATGAAAATCCCTGCTTATAGAGAGTGTAAAATAATAATAACTCCAGTTACCCACTCTCTTTATATTCGGTGGACTGAGGGAAAAGATGGAAAGAAATTCGCGAGCCTATGTGAAATTTTCTTTGGGCTAATGTAAGCCTTGCCTTCACAGAAATTGACTGGTGAGCTGAAAAGGAGGAAGTAAATTCGCGTGCCTATGTGAAATTGTTTTTAGGCCTATAAAAATCTTGCCTTCACAGGAACTAGCCGTTGAGCCAAGAAGAGAATGTAGCGAACATATGCGAAATTATTTTTAATATAAAATGAAGAGAGAAATTAAATTAACAAAAGAAGAGTGTCTGGAGTCATGTGAATGGTTTCATTTCTGTTCACCGGCTCCAGCGTTGAAGTTTTCGCCGTTGTAAAATTACTTGTCAATTATATTATCGGCCTCTAACCAAACACGTAGCATTTCAAAGAATTTTCTCTCAACAATCCAAGAAAGCTAAGTAATTTAAACTATCTCTCTTCATCTACTTTTGAAAGTATACAAACTATATCTCTCTTCTGTAAGCAACGAACTCTCTTACTTTAGTTTTAAACATTTTTTAATATTATTTTGTGTCAGATCATTCAATTAGTTGTATGAACATTTCCTCTTCAAATATGTCAAAATTATGGACTTTAAAAATTCTGACTTATTTTCCTGGAATGAGCTACGGACAAGCGTGTAAATACATTAATAAATTCCTTATCTTTTTTTATTAAAATTACCCGTGTTTTTCGGTGTTGTTACCATTGTTCAATAATCTTCTTGGTGGAGGTAAAACAACTGTCCATTTTTACCCCTAATAAACGGACGATTCCATTCATTTATGTCCTATATGACTATTGTCCATTGTGGAAAGAGGGCCTGGAGAATTAGACATTCACAGGACATATAGCAGACAAGAAGGTCAGAGGGAAATAGCGAGTAAGCTACTGATGTAATGGAAGTATCTGTAAGCCAACGGACTACAGAGAATAGCTGCGACCTGTTCCAGCTAAATAGTCGAACTCTCTGCCTTCGGGCGGAGAGGAACCCGGACAAGGCTCTGCCGAAGGGCAGAGTTTCGTTCGGGGAGGTAGATTGACCCTGAACCCGTTTATGCTGGTTCAAAAAGGGAATATTTTTGGCCGAATCTACGGCCTCAGAGAACCCACGTTAACCCGGCCTTATGCCACATGCAACCCTCGTGGTAGGGAGGTAGCTAAATATGCTAGCTGCGACCTGTTCCAGCTAGACAGTCGAACTCTCTACCTTCGGGCGGAGAGGAAACCGGACGAGGCTCCGCCGAAGGGCAGAGTCTCGTTTGGGGAGGTGGACTGCCCCTGAACCCGTTCATACCGGGTTCGAAAGGGAATATTTTTGGCCGAGCCTACAGGCTCAGAGAACCCACGTTAAACCGGCCTTGTGCCACATGCAATCCTCGTGGTGGGGAGGTAGCTAAACATCCTCGCTGGCATCTGTTCCAGCTAGACGGTTGAACTCTCTGTCTCTGAGCAGAGAGGAACTGGGACGAGTCTCTGCCAAAGGGCAGAGTCTCGTTCGGGGAGGTTGACCAACCCGATCCCGTTTATACGGGGGTTCTACGGGCATTTTTGGCCGAGACTACGG